TATATATATATATATATATATATATATATATATATCCACGTTATACCCCCTTAATATATGAAAACAGAAGCGCAGAACTTATTTGTAGGTTACGGGTAAGTTACAGGAGGTTGCAAGGAGGTTACAAGGGGGTATAACGCGAATATAACCCCCTTATACCCTCTGTATAACCTCCAAAACCTACGCAGCGCTGCGTACGTCTTACGTATGCAAATTTTTTCCTACACCAGCGGGACCTTCTAAGCACACGTCATTGTGGAACGGGAGATCAATTTTTTATTGCACTTTTTTTTTTCTTTCTTTTCGGAACAAATAATGTTATTCTCAGCTAATTTAATTTTTTTAATGCTATGTTTTTTGTTCTTTTTATTTATGCGACTCTTTTATCAGATTCAAGAAAGAATTATATAATTAATTACCTATGGAAGTCATATGAATTTTTTTATTCGAGAGTTATAACTTTAATCTTTAAGAGTAATACAAAAATGCTTGTTTTACATATAGTTTAAGGAAAATTTAATGTTTTGAAATAAAATTTAATCCACCTTAAATTGAATTTTATAATCAACTCAGTAATCTTTTATTTTCTATAAGTTACGAAGAATAGACAATTTTTTTTGTAAAATTTCAGAAAATTTATTTATAATTGGAGTAAAAAATTATGTTATAAATTGAATTTGCACTATTAAGTTTCCAAAGCACATGAGCTTGATTGGATAGATAATAAGCCGATTTCATCCCTAACCTCTAACCACTTCAAGGTCTCACAATTAGCTCTAAATTTGCTTGTGAAATGATTTTTTTTTTAGTTTTATGACTACATGCATAAATATGCAACATAATGTGAATAATAAAACGCATGCCACTTTAACAGACGAAAGCAGTCACATTTGTAAGACCTCAAATATCAATCTGCTAATCTGCATTCTTAAACTGAGAGATGTCATAATGTACTGTGAAGTTTCTATAATTTCATTTTCCTTACAATGCACGTTTTATAAATTTCTTAAGAAAGTTTTTCTGACTTTGCTATTTTGGTGTAATGACTGATTTTCGACACACTTGTATCAATGTAACTTGTTTCAGCATAAAGGCAACCATTGAGAAATATAAGAAGACTTGCGCAGGGAGTTCAAACCCCGGATCCCTTGTAGAGGTTAATTCACATGTAAGTGTCTTTCAACCATTTATTCATGACAAAATACATACAATTCCTCATTGTTTGAATAATTAATTATGTCTTGATATAAAATTGAGGATAAAATCAGCATGGAGTGTAAGAATTAGTTGGGTTGTTTGGAGATAGAAATCATTTTAGAGAAAATAATGATTCTTTCTGAAATATTCATATATTGGATGATAAAACACAGGTAAGTTTTCATGACATCCTAGAAGCCATTTGGGATTGCTTTTGTTTTTTTAGTTTAATTTCATATTGCTTATATTTTGATTTGGAAAAAATTCTATTTGACCATTTTAAAAACATAATAACTTATTTTTAAAAAGAAAAAATAAAAATATGTAAGAACACATTGAACAAACATGTTTTTAGAAATAAAATTAGAAACAAAAATAAAAATTAAAAACAAAATGTTTCCCATATTAGCCCTTAAGTTCAATTCTTCAAGAGTGTGTAGTCTATTATTAGATGATTGAGTTCAATTCAAATAGCATTGAACAATAACATAAATATTACTCTCAATTAGAACTTTAGTGTTATCATGACAGGAACAGACGACCGAGCTGGAAAAACATACTATTAGAACAAGCAAAACTATCCAAAATATCATCCACAGATTTAAAAGCCACTAAACATATAGTTTTCATTCAACTCACATTTAAATCAATTTTCGTACATCGATTTTAATGTATAGCCCTGGCACCTATTTTCATTTGCTTACTATCCGAACTCTTTTTTGTCAACCATTCAATCTATTGAAGCATTTTATGTTATAAGACAATTAAACAATAGGTTAAGTTGTATATTACTTAGTAAATAATTAAAGTTCTATAATATAGTAATTATATATATACACCCTAATATCCATGCAAGTAAAATCGACTAAACATTAACATTTTAATTTAATATAAATTTTTAAGCATTTATATTTACATTTTATTTAAGAAGTCATCATAAAAGCACCATCAAATATTTTACCATTTCTTTTAAATTCATATTTGTTTTCATTTTTAAGCCTTTTCTAGTTTACTTGATTGGGTATAATAGTATCCCTGACTAATATAATAAAGAGGTCACATTTTTCATTAACTTATATGTACATTTCATTTGATTATATTTATATTAATTACAATCATTTGAATCATACTTATACTTTCAATATGGATGCAAATAAGTGAAACATTTTAAACATATAATAATGATTATGTGGTAATGGTGAAATAGACGCTTGGTTATTTTTTTCGATGATTATCTTGATTCAAACATTTGCAAATATGATACAATTGAAATCATTAAAATAAAATAATGCATTTGAATTGAAAGGAACTATAGTTAGAGTACATTACAAACACAATTACTTACTTCAACCCTTTGAAGGTTTTCATTATCACTAAGCCATTAGCATCCTCGTTTGCTATTTATTACATATAAATAAAAGTCATAATGCTAGAACAAATTCTATAATTCTCATATTAATTTACTATATATAAATTACTCATTTAAGATATTTATGTTTAAAAATGCACTTTATACTATAATAGCAATAAAATTCACAATTCCTTAATTTACATGCTTCAAATCGAAAATTAGGTATACGTTAATTACATCATAAACCAATAATTTCCACCTTTAAATATTTGTATTAAAGTTTATAAGATTTTCTAATTTAGTTATATTTCAAGTAAACCTTATCTTTTTTTCAATTTAAGGACACTTGTTTAGAATTAATTTCTCTCCTCCAATCAAAATTTGAAGTATTTTTTTTTTAAATAAAACCCACTCAATTCATCTCTTTCTGCTTTTTTGAAAAGCCATGATTCTTTCAAGATATTAATTCATATATTGTTTAACTTTTGAATTTTGAAATTATTTAGTAAAAAATTAATATTAATACTTAATAAACTTTAAAATAAAGTAACTAGTCAAATTTTAAGAAAACAACAATAGTTAATTTTATTTCCACTTAGTTTTTTCATCATCATGCCTTAGTGCCCTAATACACCCCTTAATTTTTACAATTATTTGCTTTTAGTATAAATATTTGATGTTAGAAATTGTTAGCTTTTTAATTGGTTTTATGTTTTCTATGATTTACACTCAAAGTTTTCCCTTTTAGGGTTGATATGTCATTACTCATAGAAAGGGTATGTTTGTATTTTATTCGTTCATAGGTGGTGGAACTTCTTCGATATTATGTACCCCCTTGATTTTTATTAAATATAATCATAGGCATCTTCCCCTCTATTCAAAACATTCCTAGACCTCAAGCTTTTTAAACACTATCTTCGAGAAACCATATATCAATGTTATTTAGTTGAATCAGTATGTAATCCAGATTTTTAACATTAACCCTAAATCTTTAACATTAATCCTAAATCTCTTTATAGATCCAAATTTTATGTCATGAATGTTAAATCTCTAATACTTAGCATTTCTATTTCCATAAAAAATTTATCCGAGCATAAAACTTATGCTCTTACCCTAACTGAAACTTTAAGTGAGAGGAATGCAACAAGCCACCAATTAAGGGGAAATACATAAAGAGATGTCCAAGTGCACATAATATAAGATATGTAGAGAAAAATTCTCAAATAGTAGTAAGATCTTGCTTACTTCAAAGGATATAACCGAGGGAAAACTCCCATACCTATAGTTGTGACTCAACAAATTGAAAGGAGGAAGTTAAAAATTTCTGCCTAGAGGTCTCGAGCATTGAAAAATCAATACCTTAGTGATTTAATCTTGATTATCGAAGAAGAGATAATAAATATGGTTGAAAATAAACTTACCAAAATTTGATGGTCGAACAGATGAAGATGTGTTGATAGAATGGATCTTTGAGTACAAAGATGCAAGATAATAAACTTAAATTGACAATCATGAAACTTAAGAAAGGGCTTCTTTGTGATGGAAATATTGGAAGCACATTTGGAATAATAAGATCACTATGTGGTCTAAGAAGAGGATGAAGATACAATGTGAAAACTTTATTTCATATTATCTATAGGAGATATTCCTAAAACTCCATAACTTACACTAGATAAATTTATCTATGAAGGAGCATATGCTTAAATTTGAAAAAATCATACTGAAATATGAGTTGATGGAATCAAAGAAGCACATTATGCTGATTTATTTTGAAGGATTGAAGCCAATCGTTAGTAATATGGTTCAATCACAAACCTTTTCATCCTTGCATGATATTGAAAATTGAAAGCCAACATCATCTCATGGGGACCATTACATGTATAAGTGCATCCGAGGGAGCACCTAACTTGACCACTACATGTATAAGCAACGCTTGACCCGAACGTCAAACAGTAGAAGTGCACCTGAGGGAGCACCTAACTTGGACCCATGCAAGTAGAAATTTACCTAATGGAGAGATGACATTAAGATCCTTCCAACGAGAAAGTGTTTTAGGTACCATAATTTTAGGCACATTGTATCCAATTCCCTAAGAAATAGTTTAATTTCTTTCATAAAATAAGGACTAATGGCAAAAGAGGAAAGTAAAAATAGGAACACAGAGAAAATTAAGAATATGAAGGCGTATTATTTTCCCACTAATGAGGGAGAAAATTTCTTAGTTTGATGAATCATATAAACTGAGATTAAGAGAGTGCAAAAATAGTTACATTTCTCCATAGCAACATTCATACATGTTGCACCATGAAAAAAAATGTGTAGTCTATATAAGAAAATTATGAGAATGTGACGTCTACCTAATTTGTCAATATATTTAATCTTCTCACTTAGAAGCACAATGTTATATTCCCTCTCTTGTTTGAAAAAAGAAGAATATGATCATAATGGGTAAGAGATGAAAAGTGGATTTCTTTAGTATTGATGAGTTTTAAGAGCAAATGTGGTATGAAGTTGTATCAATGGATGCTTGTCACTTTCTATTTGATTGTTTAATGATCTTGGATAGAGCTAACATTACTAAGATGTTAAATGATCTGATTTCAAGCCGAGATGATGTAAGTTCTAGATAAATTCAATCCAAAAATTTGGCAGCTCGGCGTGTTTATTTCAATCCTAGTTTCATATACGAGTCAAACTTTGAATCAATTTTTGAGAGATTATCATTTTCTGAGCTAATTTCATAGCCATATACTATGTTCCATAAAAAATATCAACTTACATACACATTAGTTTTCAAAATTTAACCAAAAGTCTCGGGATTTGATAATTTTGAATTTGCAAGATTTATTAAATCCTATTCAAACGAAATCCTGCTTTCAACCAAACAGACCCTTAATCTAAAGGCCAACATTCTTCACAATAGAACATTGCAGGTCTCATTACAATCTCATAAAATTTTCCTTTAAGTATAAGCTGTATTTTCTATCACACAGTAGGTCGGATACATTCCTCTACTTCAACAAAGCAACTTGAAATCTACTAATCACATCCTCATCTATATCATCATCACTTTGAACAAGAGACCCGAGATGTCTAAGAGGTTCACACCTTTTAATAATTTGATCAACCGTCTACCATTAGAGCTACTATCACTAAAACTACATTTCATGTATTCAGTTCTAGATCTACTCAAACGAAGGTCCTTAGACTCCAATGTCGACCTCCATAATTTAAGTTATGGGGTGATTACATACAGGGTACCCAAAACATTGTTATGTACAAATCAAGCACCGTCTTTCATCCTTTTTCTCAAATTCACTAAAATATCAGAGACCATGATAAAAATTCAACCCATATTTTTCATTTTTTATGAAATTCACAATGGTTTGATTGTGTCACATGTAAATGCATCACTTTTTCTACGGGGTTGTCTAACAACAACTTTAGAGCGGGATTTAGATGGGCCTTAAAATGAAATCTTGCCAGACAATCATTTTGGATGAAATAAATATGTGGATTTGATAAATCCAGATTTTGCAAAATTTGACCGTAAATCCTAGATTTACTAAATCTTGTGAATCGGTGGATTTAGCTTCACAGGGCTTACGATTTAAGTTCGT